GACTCGACGGCAAATAACAACAACAACAACAAGCACTGTAGAATAGTTTGGAAAATACTGGACCACATATATGCAATCACATTACATCATATGTACCCACTACCATCAAGTCAATTCTGACTCATAGTAACCCTATAGGGTTTCCAAGGCTGTAAATCTTTCTGGAAGCAAACTGCCTCATCTTTTTTTCCATGGAGCAGCTGATGGGTTTGAACTGCCAGCTTTTTGGTTAGCAACCCAATGCTTTAACCACAGTGCCACCAGAGCTCCATTATATTATATTAGACAATTAAATAATTTCATTACTATTTGATAATTATTACCCAGATGGTTGTCATTTGTTTATATACAGTAAAACTTGTGGGAGCTGGAACTGAAGAAGACTGCCTTGTTTTTCCCTGTCTCTTAAGTGCTCCACCCCTTTGGCAGGGTGCGGTCTTATCACTTTCCTATCACTCTCTATTGTTGTTGTTTGTTGTTATGTGCTCTCGGAGTCCAGTTGGACCGACTTATAGTGACCCCTCCTTGGGTTCTAGGCAGTATCACTACGGAAGTAGATTGCCCCATCTTTCTTCCAAGGAGTGGCTGGTGGGTTTGAACCTCCAGCCTTCTGGTTAGCAGTCAAGTGCCTTAGGCACTAACCTACCAGAGGTCCTATTCTACTCTCTATTAGCAGAAAGTGTTTTTGTTTTTCCTTTCCTACAGGTTTTACCTTACACAGCTTCCAGCTTTTGTAGGCTTTACTGTTTCTACTTTTTATGTCTATCCTTTTTTATTACTCTTATTTATTTTCCGCTTATATATTTATTAGCTTAACTACTAAAAGTGACCATATTTTGAAATTACTGTGTTATTTCTCTGTACATATGGGTTTGTAATAGTGATGAAAATATTTTCAGTTAACTGTGCCTTTGAAATATAATAAATTATGACAATATTTGTACTTGTTATTTTAACTAATAACATTTGCGGAATTTGCAGAGAAGAACAGTGTTTAGAAAATGATGACTATTAGGTACATTTTTTTTTAATCTTTCTAATTAGATGCTTCATTCCAGAAAATTTAGAAAATACAACTAAAGGAAAAACTAATAAACTATAAGATCATTCATAATTATGCCACTAAAAGGCAATCATAAGCATCTATATTTTGGTGAAAGTAATATTTACACACAGAAATAAAAGAAGCCAAAAAAAACCCTCAAACTTTATTGAAAGACATAAAATGAAAACCTCCCTATTTACTTCCAAGCAGACCTCCATCTTCCTATAAGTCATTAGGGATTTTCTCCTTTGGTAATCACAGATAGGTCTTAGGTATTTTTTTGGTTCTCTAGGGCCGCTATAACAGACATACCACAAGTGGATGCCTTTACAAAGAGGGATGACAGTTTAGGAGGCTAGAAGTCTGAGTTCAAACTGCCAGCCCTAGGGGCTGAGAGAATGTCCCTTGACCTTGAGCTTCATTCAGCTTTGCCCTTGCTCCCAGCTCACTGAAGCTGGAGGCTTCTCTTAACTCAGGCAGCTGCTGGCTGCTGAGACTGACAAACCTGAGATCAACAAGTAAAATGGGACTGTCCTAAGATTATTAAGCAACATGATAGGTCACTAGTTCAAGTCCAGAAACAACCCCAAGATCGGCAGGCAGCGTGGCAGACTGCTGAATGGAGACTCTGCTAAACGCAGGATCCAAGCATGCCAGAAAGCTCCAAACCTTTCTCAAAGTGTCTTCTTATGTACTAGAAGCAAACCACATACCTAAGGCAGCTGCTCACAGTATATTCCACCATGTAGTTGATTACCAGTCCCATCATGAGGAATCACTACATCCAGCTGCCCAGCCTCTCAAAACCTACCAAACCAAACCAAACTCACTGCCGTCAAGTCTAATCTGACTCTTAGTGACCCCGCCTTGGGTTTCCAAGGCAGAGTCACTATGGAAGTAGATTGCCCAACCTTCCTTCCAAGGAGTGGCTGGTGGGTTTGAACCGCCAGCCTCCTGGTTAGCAGTGAAATGCCGTATGCTACCAGAGTTCCCCCCTCTCAAAACCAGGCCCAGCCAAGTTGACACATGACCTTAACTACTACAGGTGCCCTTCATTATTTCTTTCCTGGATATCCTTTGTTATTTGTTTACGTTTATAGTGACATAAAGTTTATATCTTACTGTATGCTCTTTTTTCTCTTGAAGATCTTTCACGATGTGTATATGAAGATCACAATATTCTACTACATGAACTGTTAATATTTTCTTGTATTTCCTTCCATCCACATAAATAATACAAGATCTTAAAGGACAGAATGAGCCTTGCTAGCACACCTCAAAGTTCAAAACTGCAACATTTTCATATTTAGTATATAATTTTATGTTGTGATTTAAATCTAGACTTAAAATCCAGCCAGATACTATGATAAAATGGTTTGTTGTTGCTGTAGTTAGATTTATGAATTTATATGAAGTCCTATTATAGTATGAAAATTAAGTCATGGTATTGAAATACAAAGAAGCCCTTGTGTCACAATGGTTAAAGCTCTTGGCTGCTAACCAAAACCCAGAAATTAAAATCCATCAGCCATTCTGCAGGAGAAGGATGTAGCAGTTTGCTTCCATAAAAATTTACAGCCTTGTAAATTTTTGTTTTATTCTGTCTTATAGGGTCCCTATGAGTCAGATTCTACTCTATGGTTTAGTTTTTGGTTATTGTAATACACTTAACAAATCTTCACTACAAATAATTAGCCAAATTGGATGTTCTAAGTTCCATCCCAGCAGCTTGTGTCTGGAAGTAAGAATGCAAGCCAGATGCAGAAAGCTGTTTTTAATATGTAAGACTGAAAATTGATTCTGCTCTTTAGGTAAAGTGTATGTTGGAATGTAAATATTTTCTAAGACTGTGCTTTTCTTTTTCAGTAAAATTTTGATTAACCAAAATTAGAGTAGATTGTTACTATAGTTTATTGAATGCTTGGTTATCTAAGGAATAATCATTAGAACTTTGTATTGTTCTATTCCTTTTGAAAATCTTCCTGTTCTACATTAATACCTTTTCTTGCTTTAGTAAATAGATATTTGTCTGTTTCATTTATTAGTCTGTGACAAAACTGTGTCTAAATGATCTACCCCAGTTGCTAGCACAAGGAAGATTCCACATAAAATTAATAAAACAGCAAATAGTTTCTCGAACAGTTTTGTTGTTGAAAATAATCTAATATTTCTTTTTTTGGATTTGACATACCGTGTGGTGATTTTTTTTTTTCCAGTAATGCTTTTATCATATGTTATTTAAAGGAAATAAAGAGAAATATTAGTGCATAATAATTTTAAGTATTTTCACATTGTAAATATAATTGTTATATGGTAGAATAAGTTTTTATATTAAAATTTAAGAATTTCATGCTTTAAAAAGGTGGACGCAACCTACATGCCCATCAGTGGATAAGTGGATGACCAAACTATGGTACATACACATAATGGAATGCTAT